TGCATCCAAAACAAGGTTTAAAAATCATGTTACAGTCCGTTAAATTGTTAAAATAAAATTAAGTAATTAAATCACTTATATCCGTTAATAACATGCCAAATTATTTAAACTTTCATACTGTTTAATCCATTAGCATATAGATGTAAATTATGCAATATGAGGTTTTACATTACTTGGAAATAATGTTTAGAATCCTTAATATTAATCCAGAACAGTCCAGTAACCCCAAAAATATCAAAACAGTACTTAAAACCACGTCCAGTACACATTTAGGCATGAGAGCAAGCTCTCAAAAGTTGAGAGCCAGTTCTTAAGCAATGGGAGCCGGCTCCCCTACCTTGGGAGCCAGCTATGTGACTTAGGGAGCCTGCTCCCTCAATCCATGGGGCCGGCTCTCTCTCTCTTAGAGAGCCGTGGCAAAAAAAACTTAAGGAGCCGGCTCCATTCCCTTGGGAGTCGGCTCTGTCCCAGCTTCCTGTCATCGTCTTCGTCTCTGACGATGTTAAAAACCCTCTGTAATGTCTTAGTTTAAGTTCCTAAAGGTCTAACTATGTTCCAAATCATGCAGAAAAAATTATAAAACCCATTACGCATCGTTACAAGAAATTTAAAACAGAATTGAAACAAGTTATACAGAAAATTAATTTCAATCATTCAACACATATATTACAGTTTAAAATTTGATTTAACATGCATACTTAATCAATTTTAATATCTATTTAGTTCCTGGAGACTACCTAGGTATGCATAGAACACAGGTCAAAGGAAAAGAATAAGAAATATAACTTACCTCTGATTTCAGTTTTGAAACCTTAACGTCATCTTCTTAATTATTCCGGCAAATCCAAGACCGTCCTCAACTCTTTTATTGCTCCTGGTTCAACCCACAAGCAAGCTTCCAATACCCCCCCTCGGTTCAGCCCTTGTCTTAGCCAAACCCCACCTTTCCTCTCTTTGTTTCTCTCAACCCTCTCTGTTCGTGAATATAATTTGTGTTTTAAACCCTAGACAGACCTAATACGATATATATATAGGCAACCCTGATAACCTAATTTTTAATTAGACTTAGAGAATGAAAACAAAACTAAAATAAAATAACCAAGTCGGCTAACCCATGAAAAGTATAAAAACCCTAGAATTACATTATTCATTAAATAATAACTAATCCTAATTTAATTATTAATAATTCCTAATAATTAAACTAACCCAAAAATACATATATACCCATAGATATATGTATAATCATTCATTAAATCCATACCATCTAATCCCATCCTTAAATAAAAATGTAAAATAAAATAAATCTTTAAAACTACCAATTAAACTACACATCATCACACAACAGATAATTCAATTAAATCACAAATTTCATAAACACAAAAACAATCATCAATTAAACAATTAAATAATTAAACAAATACCAAATAATCAAATAAGTGAAAATAAAAATGCATTAAAAACATACAATAAATACCGAGACTATCCTTTTAAAATTAGGGGTATTACATTACATTCATTTATAGTTTCAATATGATATTCATTACAATGTATATCTTTAAAACTCAATATGATATTCATTTCAATATGATATCTTTATATATTGATGATGCCGTTACAAATATATTTATTTATATATTGGCAATTCAACCATGCCTCCTTTAAGTATATTTAGTTATACATTGGCAATTCAACCATGCCTCCACAAGTATATTTATTTATACATTGGCAATTTAACCATGCCTCTATAAGTATATATATTTATACTAATAAACTAGCAACTCATCCATACTTCTAATGTATGTATTTTATTCATACAAATACTTAGGCAATATATTTACACCTATGACAGCTCATCCATACCTACAACTCAACTATGTATCAATTTTAAACTTAACAATAAATTAATTCATACATAGCTATCTCATGCATATTATATGCATAAAATAAATTTAATAACCAATCTATTATAATTTAATCAATCATACTCCTAAAAAAACATGATATACCAAATAAGAATAATAACATTAATTATCTTAAATGATGTATACATATATATATTATTATTGATAATTAATGTTATTATTCTTATTTGGTATATCATGTTTTTTTAGGAGTATGATTGATTAAATTATAATAGATTGGTTATTAAATTTATCTTATGCATATAATATGCATGAGATAGCTATGTATGAATTAGTTTATTGTTAAGTTTAAAATTGATACATAGTTGAGTTGTAGGTATGGATGAGCTGTCATAGGCGTAAATATATTGCCTTAGTATTTGTATGAATAAAATACATACATTAGAAGTATTGATTAGTTGCTAGTTTATTAGTATAAATATATATACTTATAGAGACATGGTTAAATTGCCAATGTATAAATAAATATACTTGTGGAGGTATGGTTGAATTGCCAATGTATAAATAAATATACTTGTGGAGGTATGGTTGAATTGCCAATGTATAACTAAATATACGCAAAACCGTGTGGGCTTAGGCCCAAAGCGGACAATATCATACCATGTGGTGGAGTGGGTCGTTACAAATAGTATCAGAGCCTGACCCAGCCGGAAGTGTGCCGACGGGGACGTCGGGCCTCCAAGGGGGGTGGATTATGATGACCTTGTGGGCGGGTGTGCCGTGGGCTGGTGCAAGAGACACTGTCAGGCTACTACACTGGCGAGTTACGGGTGCAAGTGGGTCGTTACAAATGGTATCAGAGCCTGACCCAGCCGGAAGTGTGCCGACGAGGACGTCGGGCCTCCAAGGGGGGTGGATTGTGATGACCTTGTGGGCGGGTGTGCCGTGGGCGGGTGCAAGAGACACTGTCAGGCTACCACACTAGCGAGCTACGGGTGCACAAGTCCCACATCGCCTGGGTAGAGGAAAGGTGAAGTGCTTATACGTAAGTGCATCATTTCCAATTGGTATGAGGCCTTTTGGGGTAAAGCCCAAGAGCAAAACCGTGCGGGCTCAGGCCCAAAGCGGACAATATCATACCATGTGGTGGAGTGGGTCGTTATATGTGTAATCAAAAGTTTTGTAAAACTTCAGGTTTGTAAGAATACTTAGTATAAATGACTTTAGGTAAAAAAAACTCCAAGTTCAATTGGACTTCAGGCTAACAAATTTTGTGAAATTTCGGGTTCGTTTGGACTTCAGGCCAACAAGTTTTGCGAAACTTTGGCTTTGCAAAGAGTACCAAATATTCCGGAAACTTCAGGCTCCCGAAAAATATATTAATACATGCAAAACTTTGGGTTTGCAAAAATCATTAAATATAAATAATTTAGTATTTACAAGACTTCGGATTCAACAATTTATTTTTCTGTAAAGAATGAACTAAAATATTATAATATAAATAAATAAAAATATTTCTAAGCTTAACAATTTTAATTATTTATAAAGTATGAACAAGAATTATTTAATATAAATAATTATTTTTCTTACCCATTAAAGTGAAAAAGAAAAATAAAATCTTCTTCTTAGTTAGTAGTGTTGTGTTGATAACGTTTTATAAATATAAAGTAAGAAATATATAGAAAACGTTTTATAAATATAGAGTTGAAAATATATAACATAGGAGATGAAAAGGAACAAGGAGAAAAACAAACTTTATATGATTTCTTCTATTTCGACGTGTCCAACTCAACACAATATATGCATACTTATGGCCAGATTTTTCCCTACATTTTACTGTTATTTTCCCTCACTTCTTATTTACTTTTCACGCCCATACACCCATCCTTTAGCACATAACAGTGGTGCCAAATCTTTAATGCGATGGGCCCCGTATATAATTGACTTTCATAACAAAAGTAACATTTTCTTTTTTTGTCTCACTTAGCACACCTCGTAGTAAGAGGGATTGTGGACATTTTTAACAATTATGCTATGTTCGGTACGAAGGGAAATAAAAGGGTGAAAGAAAAATAGGGAAAAAAGAATAAATTCCTTTGGTTATAAGGAAAAAAAAAAATGGATAATAGGAACTTTTACAAATTTTCATTCGTTTGGACGAAGGAAGGAAGACAAATGAGCCTATTATAAAACTTTTAAATTATTATATTATCTTTCGTAAATATTTAACAAATGACATAAATAAAGTAAGTGATGGGTTTAATAGTAAAAACAACTTAAAAAATTATTTTTGGTTTTATCCCACCCATTAAATTAAATTGTCAATTTTTTTATAGAAGTTTTAAATTACTATATCATCCTTCATAAATATTTAATAAATTTCATAAATAAAGTAAGTAATGAACTTAATGGTAAAAATAACTTAAAAACTTATCTTTCATTTTATCCTATAGATGAAATTAAATTGTCACTTTTTTTCATTCTTTTCCATCCAATCAAATAAAAAGAGGGAAATATTTAATTTTTTCCCTAAGGATATCTCAGTCATCCCTTCTCCTCTCCCTTCTATTTAATTTTTATTTTTATTTTTTTTATTTTTATTATTATTTTTTTTCTCTACCAAAGAGCATTAGTAATCTATAAATTACCATGATACATATTTTAAATTAGGAAAAATTGAAATAAAAAATTATATGAGTGGAGGGCATGAGTTTTATCACGTGCAGTCATATATATGGTGGGATTCATGCCTCCATTCACATAACATTAGGTTGACATTTTTGGATGTATCATTTTTCATACTCTATAAAGTGATAGTTTAGAAATTCAAACTCACATCAATAACAACAACGTTTATGTTTCAATATTAAATCACTAAACTAATTTACATCCGAGCTTTACAAAGCTTAATGTTTATTATTTATTAAAAAAATAATATTTGAGCTGATAAATTAGACTTAAAGTACTAATAATAAACTTACATTTATTTTAAGCTAAACTCGTATTTATAACCGTAATTGTTTAGAAATATCTAGACAATTTATAAATAAAGTAAATATTAGTATTAAACTTGTTTATCCTCATGTGTTTAAGCATAACATATTTTTTATTTTTAATTATAGTAAATTAAGAAATAGAAGACTCGAACGCCCTTTGGAGAAACTGTATAATGACCAAAAAGTTTAAACAATTTGACATAAATATGTTTACTTGCAGTGTAATTCTGAAATCTTCATAGGAAAAAAAAAAATTCTAAAATCTTCATACCAAGGAAAACGAAGACACAGGACTCTCTCTCTCTCTTCTTACTCCATGTCCCTCGACCCTGGAGCTTTTGAAGCCCTAGTTCCATATCGTTTCATTACATTCACAATTCCCAATCCATCTCACTCTATCAATGCCGACCACCACCTCCACACCCCACTCCTTCGTGTCGCCGTCCTCGACTCACCAATCCAACCCACCATAACCACCGATCCACCCCGAGTCGCCGCCATGATCGTCCCCAAACACCGCGAAACCGACTGGACATTCTCCACCCAGACCGGCCATCTCCAACTCCTCCTCAGCTCCCCCGAATTTTCCCGCCTAATTATCGTCGGCAACCTCCCAGCCAATTCTCTCCCAGATACATACAATCGCCCCACATGTCTCGATCATGCGAATCAGGCGAAACTCGAAGAAACCCTAACCCCTTTGTTGATAGCTTTGTTGCCCAAATTGGCTTTCAAAGACGGCTTGCCCGAAATACCCTTTTTGAGATATGAAGACGATGTTGTTCGTAGTGTGGTTTTGGAGAAATGTGTTGGGTCTTGTGTTGGTGAGATGTTGATTGAGGACGTTGAATTGCAATTCGAGTGTGATAGAGAGTTTCGGAGAAGGTTGAGGTTTAAGCGAATGCCCAATCTGATTCAAACCCAGATACGTCTCGTTTCGAATTCAAATCCTGATGTGATTTCTGGTTCCAATTGTGTGGGTTTAGGGGAATTAGGGTTTAAGCCAGATACACAGGTTCTGGTTCATCCTTATTTGACTCCAATGGTGGCAAGTCTTTCGCTGATCAGTTCGTGTCTTGATCAGCGAATTCGAGGTGGGTTTAGGCCAAAAGCATTGTGTCTGGGTGTTGGTGGTGGTGCTTTACTTGGATTCTTGAATGCCCAATTGGGTTTCGAGGTCATTGGTGTGGAGGCAGATGAGGCTGTTCTGAGGGTTGCCAAGCAGTATTTTGGATTAGAAGATGGTGAGTTCATTCAGCTTCGTGTTGGGGACGGAATAGAATTGATAAACAAATTTTCTCATCAAGCCAATGAACAAAATGTTGATGTATGGGATGCTAAATTTGATGTGATTATGGTCGATTTGGATTCGAGTGATGCTAGAATGGGTATAAGTGCTCCTCCAATGGAGTTTGTTCAGAAGTCTGTTCTTTTGGCAGCTAGACTTGTTCTTAATGAGCTTGGTGTTCTTGTTATCAATGTGATTCCTCCAACTAGGGCATTCTACGAGACGTTGATACATGAGTTTCAGGAGGTTTTTCAGGAGTTGTATGAAATAGATGTTGGGAATGGAGAAAACTTTGTTCTAATTGCCACTGCATCACCAATGGCGACTGCTTCTGGCGATTGTGAGAATACTTTTCTCACGAGGTTGAAACTGGTTATTTCAGGAGCTTATATTGATTCAATAAGGAAACTTTGAAGGTTTTGGTTGTCACCAAGTAGACAAATATGCTCTCCATATCCTTGGGGAAAGGGTGTATAAGGCCGAGCAGCAAAACGCGTTTTGGAAACCATGAGCGCTTTTTGTATAGTGCATAGCAGACAATATCTGCACTGTGCATACGCGTCATTAGTTATGGTTCTCAAATCCTCAGTAAAGATGGCAAAGAAACAGAAGCTAACTCACTGTGGACAGTCTAGTGTTTCTAATCCAGTTACCTTAGCAAGCATTACTAGAGGAGACCTCATTGCAGGTGTGGATGATTTCAAACTCTCCCTTCATCATAAAGTTGAAGTTTTTTGCTAGCTGTGGTGTTAAAGGAATGTTGTTGACACAAATATGCAATTAAGTTTGTTGTAGGCATTGTAATCTTGTGAAACTCTTTAATGTACCTCAGAATGTTTAAAGGCCGTTATCTTTTCTGTCATTTGCACCTATTATCGTATCCTTTTGCTCAATTTTGTGTAGTATATACCATAAGCAGGCATAACCAAGTTCTGAATCTGAGGTTGATTGGTTTATGGAAGAAAAAAAAAAAATATAACCCACTCCATTATGATATTATCCGCTTTGGGCTTAAGGCCGTACGTTTTTGCTCTTGGACTTTACTCCAAAAGACTTCATACCAATTGGAGTGACATATTTACATATAAGTACTTCACCTTTCCTTTTCCTAGGCGATGTGGGATTATGCACCCATAACTCGCCAGTGTGGTAACCTGTCAGTGTCTCGCACCCGCCCACAGAATCATCACAATCCACCCCCCTTGGAGGCCCGACGTCCTCGTCGGCACGCTTTCGGCTGCGTCAGAGCCTCCACTCCACCACATGGTATGCTATTATCCGCTTTGGGCCTGAATCCGTACGATTTTGCTCTTGAATTTTACCCAAAAGACCTCATACCAATTGGAGTGACACACCTACATATAAGCACTTCACCTTTCCCTTTCCCATGTGATGTGAATTGTGTACCCGTAGCTCACTAGTGTGGTAACTTGTCAGTGTCTCGCACCCGTCCACGACACACCCGCCCACAAGGTTATCACAATACGATCTTCACATTTCGCAAGCATTTGAGTTTGTTTATGGTGTTTCTAGCAACATGTTACCTGAAGCAAGCACACTTCCTCCTGTTGTTTCAGCAATGGAGTTGCTTTTGGATGCCCGAAGTCCAGAGGTGTGTTGATGACCTTACATTTTGGCTGTACTAACAAACTTCATCCATTTTTAAAAAAGCTGTTGTTAATGTGGAAATGTATCATCTCATACTTTGATTTCTTGAACCTCTTTGATCTTTTTTTTCCCTTGAATTGTTCTACTCAGCGATGTTAGATACCATCACATAAGAGATACATTAGCATCAGCAAAGTAGGCCAAGACAAACTTATTCCATAATGGATCACTTATTCAATTTTCATGCTCTGGTGGTAGTGGTTGGTAGTCTGGTAGCTATGTTGTCACATTTTTGGCAAAGAAGTTTGGTATTACCACGTGAAATATGTTGTCACATTTTTGGCAAAGAAGTTGAGTATTATTACGCGGCTTAGTTGGTAGGCGTCCGAATGGATGTGACCATTTTTTAGGGCCCCTTTACTTTTTATTTTTTATTTTTTATTTTTTATTTTTAAAATAGTTATTTCCCTAAGCAATTCAGTTTTGATCAACTGCTGCAAAGTTTAGAACTTCAATGGTTATATTAATAATGTCTCCTTCCACGGAGTGATTTTGAATCAGAAAAATGATAGTATTTCATGGGATTAAAAAAGTAAAAAAAAAAAAAAAAGTTGTTGGTTAAATAGAGATGAGCTTTAATATATTCAACAAATGAATCCCAGTCCACTTGTGTAATTGGTCCTCCTCAAAATCAAACTCTCATTGGAACTAATTTTCCATTAAAAGTTCCAACTTTATCCCCATTTGGATTAAAGATTTTCAAAGGAATATATTTAGTTTCAATGGTGTAAAACAATATTTCTCATTAAATTTATAGATTTCATCTTTATACCATAGTTCAACTTTAATATACAATTAACTTTCTAAATATATATATATATATATATATATATAGGCCATTATGTAAACTTCAAATCCATTCATTTAATATGTATATATAAATTAAAAATTGCTTCTCATGCCTATGACTGTGTCACCTACACCAACTCCTCCCACAATTTGTGAATAATAATACAATCACAACAGCCATTCATTCATTCGTTTTCACCCAATGTCCCAAAATTTGGAAAAAAAAAAAAAATAATCTCCAATCAAAGACAAAAAGTACTAAAACTAAATCTTTAGACTCAATTCATCAAATAAATCCTGTATTAATAACAATAAAGTTCTATATATACAACTGAGGAGAGAGAGGTGTCAGAGAAGAGCGATGAGGATAAAAATGAGTAGGGCGGCAATGAAGGAGTACTTGAGAGCAGCAACAACAATGGCCAACGATATGAACAGCAGCTGCCAGAGGACTTGAACGCTTGCCCACGTCAGCAGACCCGTCAATCCAACGGCCAGTATGTTATCCGGATCTGGGTCCACCAGCAGATCAACCCACCTCAGATTGAATCTGGGCCGTTGATCCCTCTTCACGTCTTCCCCACCACCGTTGTTATTGTTCCCATCTTCATCTCTCTCTTCCTCCTTGGGATCATTGCTCAACCCATTACCATTCTCTGCGGAGATTACGAACTTTCCGAGATTTCTAGGGCTTTTTTGGGTTAGGGTTTTGAGGGGAAGAGGTGGGAAGAAAATCAATTTTGGAGGGAGAATGTGGAGGGGTGTGGGAATTGGTGGGATTGGAATTGGAATTGGTGGGTGTAAGGCAGCAGTGGTGAACCCTAACATGTTTCTTTTTCCAGGAAAATGGTTGCAGGAAGGAAAAACTTTAAAAAGCAGCTAACATTTACCCCCTCCCTCTTGTGAAGCTTCTTCAGTCATCTTGGAGGACATAAAGATCTTGTTGAAGGTCCATCCCAGGTTTTCCCTGTCTTGGGCCCCTCGATCTACAAACCATCCAGCCCACCTCCTTTGCAAATGGGCTTTCAGGAACTTGTCCTCTCCTTGTTTGGCCCTTGTTGCTCTTTCAGCCCTTGTTTTTGATTGGTCTTAGTTCTCTTTTTTCCCGTCACACTCGTGGACACACCTTACACAACTCACACTTTGCGCCTTTGCAGATTCAAACCATCATCATTCACTCGGAAGAGAAAATAACATTAGAACACAGCCCTTGGTAAAATCCACAATTTTCAAAACATTCCATTATCCTATTTTTCAAACTCAAAAGTTTCATCAAATTTTAAATCTAAAGCCGGAGTGGATACTTCCAAATGAAACTTGAATAAGCCTAATTACAAGTGAAAGCCCAGCCAAATTAAAAATTGTGTTTAGATGTGTTTGGTAATGCTTTTAGTGGTTACTAAATTTAACTTAGTGGAGCATTTGAATGAAACCAGAATTTGTAACTTTCAAAACTGCGTTTTGGGTAGAGGTTGAAAATTTTTGACAACTCTTTTTCATTAGATAATTTTATCCTTTTTTATTTTTTTATAAAAACAATTATATTCATTCGCTAATAATCCTTTTAGTTAGATGGAAATAAGCAAGAAAAGAAATGAAATAGAAGGTGAATGAAAAGAAAAGAGATTTTCTAGCATGCATTTGGTTAACATGGAAATTTATCTAAAAAAACTGTAAAAAAATATTAGTTTGTTAGTTTGAATAACATGAAAGTGAAAAGAAAGTGATTATGCATACCAAAACTACCCTTATAAAGTGAAATGATGAATTATTAAATTTAAATACATAATTGTTTACATTCATTTATATTATTTGTATATAGAATAAGGCTTCATAATATTTTCTTAGGTAAAACTAATCATTAGTTTAAGATAAACAAATTAAAAAAAATAAAAAAATAGAGATGAAGAGGCAATACTACTGTTTGGGAGAAAAATCAAATATTTCACCATTTTAATATATATATCCAAATGGGATTATGAGTGGCTAGAATTACAAGATAGAACAGACTATTAAAAAAAAATAAAAAATTCCATTTAGAAGCATGATCTATTGTGACCAATTTTATTCAAATTATCATTGATATTCTGTATATATAACTGTATAATTTGAGTTGCTAACTTATGTAAGAATAAAAGTTTTTTTAAGGAGAACTTATCTCGGAAAAATTTTTGAGGGTTTCTTTTTCTATCTATCCAAATTCTAAAAATTTTGAGGGTTTTCTTTCTTTTCTAACTATTTCCAAAAGTTGCTATTATCAAATATTGTAATATCTTATTAAAGAATATTATTGTAAAATTAGCAATATAAATATTTGAGAAAATATTGTTACTAAACAAATAAAAAAAATAATTTAATTTTAAAAAGTATTTATTATAATGTGTCACCAAAGTAGTGTTCAATTACTCTTGGAAGTAAGAAATTATATACTCACTTTTAATTGTAGCCTTAGATCTAACTTATGGCAATTACTTAATTGACTTTTATTTTCTTCATTTTAAGAAACTTACATTTTATTTCCATATTCTTTCCATACCATTAAATATCGTTAAAGAAAAATGACAGAATTAGACAATTTATTAAAGGAAACAGAAATAAAATAATCCAGTAAAAAAACACTTCCCCATCACTACCAATTGTTTATTCAACAAATTTGTAAGCAGATATAAACCAAAAAAAGTTAATCAAAAGAGATAAATAAAATGACCATTAAATAAAGATTGTTTGAGAAGTATTGATTATAATCAAAATTCGAATTTCAAGATTGATCCATATTTTATACTCAATTTAATAAAATATTTTAAATTTGTTCAACAACTAATTTAGAATTAGGAGACTACTATTGACTTCATAATATTTTTTAGAAAAATCATACAAAACAACTCTTAATATATTATTATATATCCATCTAAATGTTTTCAGTGTTTTTTTTATTATTTATATTTTTTGGAAAATTAAATGTTCAAAGTGTTGATCAGTAAAAACATACTAAAATATGTATAATATCATTGCAAATCCTAAGTTTTTTCATAATTTATCAATAGAATTGATAAAGTATGAAAAAAAACTAAAAATGATAGACTTTTAATTTTAGATTAATTCTACTTTGTCTTAGTGGCTACTTGTGAATTTGGCAAAAAGTAGCCAAATTATTTAATTCTTGTTTTCTTTAATAAATTGTTTAATTCTATCATTTTTCTTTTACGATATTTAATGGTATGAAAAGAAAATGTAAGTTTTTAAAATAAAAATAATAAAAGCAAATTAAGTAATTGCCGTAGGATTAGACCCTAATGATACAATTAAAAGTAAGTATATAATTTCTTATTTTCAGGGAACAATTGAACACTATTGTGTGTCACCAAACACCAAACACCTAATACCTAATATTCTTTTTAATGACCGCAGTTTTTTAACAACTCACCTGATAATAAGACTTTTTTTATTCCAACAATAACCCAAAATGGTCTCTAAGTTGTGAAAAAACTTACGAGTCAATAAAATTATAAGCAATCTATTTATGACCGTCTATAAGTAGTATAGTACTCTCTAAGTGACACATAGTGAGATGTTTTTGTTCACTTGGTAAAATAAACTATGCAATCTTTTTCTTTTTCTTTTTTTTTTTTTTTTTTTTAATGACCAATTTACCTCATAAAATGTCATTTTTTCTAACCAAATTTATTATTATTATTATTATTTTGAACTAGTTGTAATGAAGGAATGGAAAGGAAAGATCCAACGGAAAAGGAAAGAATTTCATTGTTTTGGAAGTAAAAATTTCAAAATAAACTTTTGGATGCATTGAATCCCATTTCAAAGCCTTCATTCACTCAAATTTATCAAACCAGATTTAACCCAAATTTGTACACACATTTAATCATAAAATTAATATATGTTTTCACTTTAAAAAAACAAAGAAAAAAGGAAATTTTTTTTTTTATTTTATTAAAAAAGAAGGCGACCACAGTGGGAGTCGAACCCACGACCTTTTGATCCGAAGTCAAACGCGCTAATCCACTGCGCTATGCGGTCATATATGTGATGTTTCTCAATCACTACTTCAGGATAGTTCAGCTCAGGAATGATATTACTTTTATCGAAAGTACTGTAAAGCCAGAGATACAAACAGTGTTTTAAGCAATTACAGAGTTATGGGTTTTTACGATTACTGAGCGTGTGATATTTTCAGGAATGAATTTGGTGAAGGCAGTGATCGGATTCAATGTATAGCTTCAAGATCTGGTCTTAGCACAGTAAGTAAGAATGTTTTTAAATCTTTGATTCCTCGAAAAATATGATTTGAACTTTCATGAAATCTTGATTTTTTCCCATTTTCTATTACTATCTCTGCAATCTGGGTTTGTTGGCATTTGCTTCATTTTTCTACCCATTATATGATCATCATAACTGGAATTTTATATAATTTTTGGTGTGTCTATTTTTCGATCTGATTTCAATTTTCTACATTGTATGCTCAAGTTCAAATGCTTAATTTGTCCTTTGAACTAACATGACAATAGACAGGAATGCAAGTATATACACACACAGACACACATATATGTATGTGTCTTACAAATAAATCCTTTCTGTTTTGGTAGGTTACAATTAAATCTCATCCCAAATACATTCCAATAAGCATTTGTTCCAATGTGCAATTCTAGCCAGTAATAACAAGAGCTATTAGCTCGGATTGAAAGATGTCTTAAATGATTCATTTGACTTTTTATGGATCTTGAATAACTGTCTTGATGGTTAAATGTGAAGAGCTCATCCCTCTTGTCACGAGGGAGCTATTTTAAGAGCATCGCTCAATTCTAGCAACCTTGCAAAGTTAACGAATTACAATTTTTTTTTATAATTTTTTTGGTGGTAGGCAAGCAACAGAAGCATACACTTATTACACAATCTTTGTTGCATAAAGAGGAACAGACATTACCCACATAGCTCTAGGAAGGGAGATATGTGGCCATGGACCAACCATGGTAGCATCAAGACCTTGATTGCTCTCTCAGATTTTAAAGCAGTGCTGCACTCACTTAAAAGCAAACAGTTGCTCTGGGACAAGGACAGCACTTCATCAGCTGTCATTGTTCAGAGTCACCTCTTGTTTATCACTTATAACAACCACAAAGAAGAAAAAATAAAACACACACAAAAAGGAATATATATATATATGAAAATTTATCAAATATTATTGTTACTATTCTTTTTGGTGGTATGGGATGAATAGTTCTTTCTAGAATGAGTGAAGACAAGGACCTTTTGTCTTCTCCAGAGCATACCAACTATGCATGAGATTGTGTATTTACATGAATTTGCAATATCTATTTTCAAAGGAACTATACCTCATTATTGGGGGATGCACTGACATGTTGCTCATGTTGATGAAGTCAGAAAGTTATCCTACTAAGAGTGCGAGGTCTGAGCTCTTTGTGGTAGTGATAACTAAGGAAAAGAATGAGATTATTGTGATGATAGGGTTTAAGATCATGAGATGGGCTCAAGATCATACAGCTAGGTAGACATGTTAAAAGAGTAGTGCTACGCCCGCCCTAAAGAGTTGTGCTAGGTATAATTAAAGAGTAGTCACTTATCAAAAAAAAAGAGTAGTGCTACGCCCACCCTCTTCTCTGTGCCGCCTGTCGCATGTCGGTAGGACTAAACATAGATGGCAGATTCAAGCTCAAAATTGCTCGACACTGTAAATCATTAAATAAAGTTTTATCTCTTTCCGTTTTGAGATGGTGAGATTTGATTAAACACCTTCCCACTTTGATAAAAAATTGAAAAGAGAGTTTAAAATAACTTGTGTACCCTGGAAAAGATGGAAGATTTGAACTATAACTTGTTGAAGGAAATTACAATTGGTAAGTGCAAAGATTGTAATACATTAAATAATATGATAAATAATGTGAGAAAGTACTTAACAAATAATAAAGGTATAAACTGAGTTCTATAAAACAAAATGAGAACCGTTCTGAAACATACATCGGGGAAAGCCAATGACAACCAAACAAGGCTTCAAATTCCAAAGCAATAAAAATATTTAAATTTTTAAAAAAACCCGTATTATTCGGGTTTTGCAACTAACCACATTAATTAAATTTCATGCCAAATAACCCCGTTGTTTAACTAGACAACTAACTCCAATTCAATCAAATGACTTCATTAATCAAGAAAATAAAAGTTACTCACTGTTACTTCCTCTCCTTGCAAAGTTGCATCAATTCCTCCACCACACTATCTATCTCTTCCTCTCCTTTCATTCTCAAGATCTCCCCAAGTTCTCTTGCTTTTATCCTCACATTTTCCCCAATTTTCTCCACAACCACCTTTCTTGTCACTTTTGCTATCTCTTCTCTTTTGATTTCCCTATTCTTGTCTCTCATTACCTCCATACCAGCACCAATCTCCACCACCAGTCTAGCATTGAGAGGCTGATCATGATGCATTGGAATGGCTATGATTGGAACACCAAACTTCATACTTTCCATTATCGAACCCCATCCACAGTGACTCACAAAGCCACCAGTGCTTGAATGTTGCAGAATTTCAGCCTGTGGAGCCCATCCCTCAATAACCATTCCTCTCTCTCCTACCCTCTCAAGAAACCCCTCAGGTAACGCTTCTTCAACCCTAATTTTCTCTCCCACAGGAAACCTAACAACCCATATGAAGTTGACCTTGCTAAGCTCTAGCCCATGAGCTACCTCTGCCATCTCCTCCTTGGACAGAAAACACTCACTGCCAAAGGAAACAAACACAGCAGAAGACTCATCTTTCTTGTCAAGCCACTGGATGATCTCTGTATGATCATTGTCGTTAACCGAGTCTTGAACTAGTGGACCAACAGGGACCATCCTCCTCTCAGCTAAATTGGACGAATATTCAATATATTTTCCCTCAATCTCTCTAAAGGTCTTGATCAAAGTAATGTTACAAGATTGTTTAAAACCTCCAAGGTAACGATCCTTATCTTTGTTAAGATCTAAAGAAGTCTTAGATTTACTAAGTCTCTCAAACTCCCTGAGATAAATTGCTGGAAATGGGAATTCTTTACCTGGGTTTTTGATTTTGTGAAGGGTGAAAGAAACCATCGAAGCTGCAGTAGTTAGGAACTGAACAGCAGGAACATTAAGTGATGCAGCCATGGCTGCAGCCCAAGCTTGACTGTAGTCATAGATAACTAAGTCGGGGTTTAGGGTCTCAATGATGTTGGAGAAGGTAGGACTTGCCATCTCAAAGGCATCTCTGAGGGTGTGCATGAGGTGCATTGGGAGGCCATTGGTTGTGTGGTTGTGAGGAGGGAGTTTAGGCGAGGATGGAAGATGGAGTTCTACTAATTGTATCAAGAGAGAGTACTTTTCTGCAATCTTTTTCTTAATGGAGCTGAGGTTGATAGGTGTAGAACACAAATATATGTGAAAATTCCTCTCTGTGAGTTTTTTTGCTAGCTCTAGGAAGGGAGATATGTGGCCATGCGCTAACCACGGTAGCATTAGGACCCTGATAGCTCTGCTTTGTGTAGTATCCATGCTCTCTTTCTCTCTCTTTCTCTCTCTCTCTCTCTCTCATTTTAAAGTAGTGCACTCGCTTAAAAGCAAACAGTTGCTTAGTGCCACACGAGTGAGTGAGCCGGACCGTCCGATTGTTACAATACGCGAGCTGTAGCAATAGAGGATCTGGATGCCATTTTTCAAAGCCACCTCTTGTTTATCACTTGTAACAACCACAGGAAGAGCGTGTTCTCGAGGATAAGAAAAGTAACCTGCAGACACTGCATGTGGATAATATAATATATATTTATATACGAAAATGTATAAAAAAATTATTGTCACTTATTATTGGGTGATGCATGCAGTGACATATTGCTCATGTTCATAAAGTCAAAGATTGATCCTGCTAAGAGTGCAAGGGTGAAAAAAAAAAAAACTAAGAGTGCAAGGTATGAGCTGGAAGCTCTTTGTGGCAATAATAACTAAGGATATAAGACTCAGATGGTTGTGATACTATTGTTTATTTGTTGAATCAATCTTACCAGAGTTGATCATGAGATGGCTCAAGATCTTACAGCTTTGCGGACAGGTTAACAATTCCTGGCGTGGGATCCAAAACATGGGTCCCACAAAAATATGAGGGTGTGAACTAATTTATTGTCAATGTATTATTATTTCACATGTCTTAAATGCTCTTTACGTGTGATTAAATTATGAAAGTGAAATCTTCATCATTATCACGGAGACAATTAGATTCTACTTCATTTGCTTTGATCAAGCTCTAATGCATAAAATAGAGTATGATCCCTTTCTGTTTTGAGATGGTAAGATTTGAGTTAAACACCTCTCTACTTTGAAACCATACAAATTTCCTCTGGAAAAGATGAAAGATTTGAATTATAACTTGTTGAAGGAAATTATACTCGGCAAGTGCAGAGATTGTTACACACTATACCCAGGGAAAAAAAAAATTTGTTACACACTATAAATGATATAATGATAATGTATATATAACAAATAATAAGAAATGTATAGACTGGGTTCTAGAAAGCCAAATGAGAAAGCCAAATGAGAGAACAATTTTCGACAAGTTACTCACTGTTACCTCTTCCTCTCCTTGCAAAGTTGCACCAATTCCTCCTCCACCCTATCTATCTCCTCCTCTCCTTTAATTCTCAGTATCTCACTTAATTCTTTTGCTTTTATCCTTGCATCTTTCCCATTTTCCTCCATCAGCACCTTTCTTATCGCTTGTGCTATCGCTTCTCTCTTGAGTCTCCCATTGTTGTCTCTCATAACCTCTACACCCACACCAGTCTCAACCACCAGTCTAGCATTGAGAGGCTGGTCAAGATGCATGGGCATGGCTATTATTGGAACACCAGACTTCATGCTTTCCATTATTGAACCCCATCCACAGTGACTCACAAAGCCACCAGTGCTTGTATGCCCTAGAATTTTCAACTGCGGGGCCCATCCCTCAACCGCCATTCCTCTCTCCCCTACCCTCTCAAGGAACCCCTCAGGTAGTGCTTCTTCAACCCTAATTTTCTCTCCAACAGGAAACCTAACAACCCATATGAAATTAACCTTGCTAAGCTCTAGCCCATGAGCAACCTCTTCCATCTCCTCCTTGGTCAGAAAACACTCACTTCCAAAGGAAACAAACACTGTTGAAGTCTCATCCTTCTTGTCAAGCCACTGTGTGATCTCTGTATGCTCATCTTCGGTAACAGTGTCTTGAACTAGTGTACCAACAGGGACAATCCTCTTCTCAGTTAAATTGGATAAATATTCAATGTATTTTCCCTCAATCTCTCTAAAGGTCTTGATCAAAATAATGTTACAGGATTGTTTAAAAGCACCAAGGAAACGATCTTTATCTTTGTTACGCTCTAAAGAAGACTCAGAAGAACCAAGTCTCTCAAACTCCCTGAGATAAATTGCTGGAAATGGGAATTCTTTACCTGGGTTCTTGAACATGTGAAGGGCGAAAGAGACCATCGAAGCTGCAGTAGTTAGGAACTGAACAGCAGGAACGTTAAGTGATGCAGCTATAGCTGCAGCCCAAGGTTGATTGTAGTCATAGATAACTAAGTCTGGATTTAGGGTGTGAATGATGTTGGAGAAGGTAGGACTAGCCATCTCAAAGGCATCTTTGAGGGCGGGCATGAGGTGGGTTGGGAGGCCATTGGTTGTGTGGTAATGAGGAGGGAGTTCAGGCAAGGATGGAAGATGGAGTTCTATCAAATGTATCAAGTGAGAGTACTTCTCAGCAAGCCTTTTCTTGATGGGGTTGAGATTGATAGGTGTAGAACACAAATATATATGGAAGTTCCTCTCTGTGAGCTTTTTTGCTAGCTCTAGAAAGGGAGATATGTGGCCATGGGCTAACCATGGTATGATTAGGACCCTTATAGGTCTGCTTTGTTTAGTATCCATGCTCGCTCTCTCTCTCTCTCTCCTTTTAAGGTAGTGCCACTAACTTAAAAGCAAACAGTTGCTTTGGGACAAGGATAGCACTCCTAAGTTGTCATTTTTCAAGAGTCCAGACCGTACAGCTGTTAGCCTGTTACAACATGCGTGCTGTAAATACAATGGATCTGGGCACCATTTTCAAAGCCACCTCTTGTTTATTACTTGTAACAACCGCAGAGAAGAGAAAACAAATAGAAAAAAAAAAAAAAACAAAAGAATCTTCCTTCTTTAGCGTTCTCGAGGAGAAGAAAAGTAACCTGCAGAAAATGCATGTGGATATATATATATATATATATATATGAAAATGTATAAAAAATTATTGTCCCTATTCTTTTTGGTGGTATGGTATGAGTAGTTCTTCTCTACAGCATACCAAACATGCATTTGATTTCACATTTACATAAATTTGCAATTTTGTTTACAAAGGAACTGACCCTCATTATTGGGTGATGCATGCAGTGACATATTACTCATGTTGATGAAGTCTCAGACTTATCCTACTAAGAGTGCAAGGTATGAACTGGGAGGTCTTTGTGTCAGTGATCACTAACTAAGGATAGAAGAATCAGATGGTTGTGATGATAGGATTTATTTGTTGAATCAGTTTCACCAGAGTTGATCATGAGATGGGCGCAAGATCATACAGCTACGCAGACAGGTTAAACACTTTATTGCATAATTAAATGTTGACCATTACCACTGTATCCCTGAATAAAAATGAGGCCAGCCAAATGGGAGCCAAAGGACCCCTCATCCACACATACATGAGGGTCTAAACTAATTTATTGTCAAACTATTACTTGTCTTTAAATGCTCTATGCATGTGATTAAATTATGAAAGTGAAAATCTTCATCATGATGATGGAGGCAATTAGATTCTCACTTGATTTGATGCCAAAAAACAGAAAACAGAGATGGCAGATTCATATTCTAAAGCATGAATCAGAGTATGATCCTTTTCAGTTCTGAGATGGTAAGATTTGAGTTAAACACCTTTCTACTTTAATACCATAAAAATTTCCTCTGGAAAAGATGAAACTTTGAAATATAATTGGCAAGTGCAAAGATTGTAACACATCATAAATAAAATAATGAGTAATGTGAGAAAGTAAATAACAAATGATAAAGGTATAAACTGGGTTCTAAAAATCCAAATGAGAACCAATGCATGAACAAATTGTGAGACATATATGGGGAAAGCCAATGGCGACTAAACAAGACTTCAAAATCCAAAACAACAGAAATTAATATATAAAAGCATCTTTAGGGAATTGAGGCATAAATTAAAGAAATATTTTAAGACATATTTTAGCGGTATATTAAAAAGTGGGAGAAAAACCACACTATCCAAGTTCTTCAACTAACCACATGAATTAAATTCCATGCCAAATAACCCCTTTATTTAACTAGACAAATAATTCCACTTCAATCAAATGACTTCATTTATCAAGAAGATAAAATTTGCCATTATTTATTTTCTTCCCCAAAACATAATAATAATAATAACAACAACAAATTGGGAAGAAAAATTAGTTGTTCTTTGAAATCACATGGAACAATTACCAATTCCTATGAGAGTTACTCATTGTTACTTCTTCCACTCCTTGCAAAGTTGCACCAATTCCTCCACCACCTTATCTATCTCCTCCTCTCCTTTCAATTTTAGTCTCTTACTTAATTCTCTTGCTTTTATCCTTACATCCTTCCCATTTTCCTCCACCACCACCTTTCTTATCACTTGTGCTATCTCTTCTCTCTTGAATCTCCCATTGTTGTCTCTCGTGACCTCCACACCAACACCAACCTCTTCCATTAGTCTAGAATTCAGAGGTTGGTCAATATGCATGGGCATGCCTATGATTGGAACACCATACTTCATGCTTTCCATTACAGAACCCCATCCACAGTGACTCACAAAGCCACCGGTGCTTGAATGTTGCAGAATTTTCGACTGCGGGGCCCATCCCTCTATAACCATTCCTCTCTCCCCTACCCTCTCAAGGAACCCCTTAGGTAGTGCCTCTTCAACCCTAATTTTCTCTCCCACAGGAAACCTAACAACCCATATGAAATTAACCTTGCTGAGCTCTAGCCCTTGAGCTACCTCTTCCATCTCCTCCTTGGACAGAAAACACTCACTGCCAAATGAAACAAACACAGCAGAAGGCTCTTCTTTCATGTCAAGCCACTGGATGATCTCTGTATGCTCGTTTTCGTTGACAGGTTCTTCAACAAGTGGACCGACGGGGACCATCTTCTTCCCGGTTAATTTGGAGAGATATTCAATATATTTTCCTTCAATCTCTGTAAAAGTCTTGGTCAGAATAATGTTACAAGATCGTTTGGTGGCTTCAAGGAATCGATCTCTTTCTTTGGAATGATTTTCGGAGGACTCAGAGGATTGGCGAGGCTTTAGGCTCTCGAAGTTCCTAAAAGTAATTGCTGGAAATGGGTAGTTTTCTCCTCGTTTATCGAGCATGTGAAAGGCGAAAGAAACCATCACTGCTCCGGTAGTTTGGAACTGAACGGCAGGAATATCAAGCGACGAAGAGATGGTTGGTGCCCATTGTTGATTGTAGTCATATATGACCAAGTCCGGGTTCAGGGTCTGAAGGATGTTGGAGAAGGCGGGGCTTGCCATGTCCAAGGCGTTTTTGAGGGTGTGCATGAGATGGATTGGGAGGCCATTGGTTGTGTGGTGGTGAGGAGGGAGTTCAGGCATGGATGGAAGATGGAGTTCTACTAGTTGTATCAAGTGAGAGTACTTTTCAGGAAGCCTTTTCTTGATGGAGCTGAGATTGATAGGCGTTGAACAAAAGTATATGTGGAAGTTTCTGTCTGTGAGTCTTTTTGCTAGCTCAAGGAAGGGAGATATGTGGCCATGGGCTAGCCATGGTAGCATCAAGACACTGATACTGCTCTGTCTAGTATCCATGATCTCTCTGTGTGTGTGTGTGTGTTTTAATGATTGTTGAAATTCAAAGTGCCTGTGGATATTCTTGAGGAAAGAAAAGAAAGCTATGAATGTGTCTTTTAATGATATGTTGGGATAGGTTTAATTATTATGCAAATCTTGGCAGGGTTGATCTTGAAAGGGACAATTGGCTCAAGCACATAAAAGTATGCACGCATGTCAAAGTTTTTTTTTTTTTTAATTAAATACTGACCACCAACTACTGTATTAGTTTAAGCTAAGATGTTAATATAAAAATAAAAAAAACCAGAGTTGTGAAGCAACTTGTGTCCCAGCCAGCCCTCTATGGTTCTATGTAAAAAATTCGAGAATTATATTCAGCCGGTTTGCTTACAAGAAAATAATAATGAAGTGAAGGAAAAGAAAATTAATTTTTTATTATGTATTTGATTAGTATAAATTTTTTTGTAAAAAAAACATTGTGAAGAATATTGTTTCATGGATTGTAATTACAAGAAAATATTATAATTTACATAAATTGTCCTTATTTTTGTTAAATAAAATGCAAATAAATAATTTTTGTCTTTTATGAGTGGACCATTATGCGGTTCTTATAAATGAAAAAAGAAGTTATGCATAAATACATTTTTGTTTGAGAGAGAGAGAGAAGACTATAAATATGAATTCAAATAATTTTCTCAAGAAATAAAAAATTTAGAAAAATTTATGAAAAAACTAGATGGGTGCGTTATAGATAGTTACTTTTTCTCAAATTTTTTCTTTTTCTGCTATCCAATTTCCAAACTCCCAAAATGTTATATAGATTTTTTTTTTTTTAAAAAAAATCCATTTATCTTTCTTTGTTGATATTTCCATATAACTAAACAGAACTTACATGGATTGTGTCGGGAAAGAAACTACACTTGCCAGACATAGATGGTAAGAAAATCAGTCTCTTATTTTTCAAAGGGAGGTCATAGATTCAAGTCTCAGAAGAATCATATGTGCATGAGTACCAATTAGGAAAAAAAAAAATGGTAAGAGAATCTGGAAAAAATAGAAACAGAAAGGAGGTGAAAAATACATGTTATTGATCTTAGGATAGTAACCGTGATCATAGTATTGAGTTTTACTTGATTTGTGTGTAGAAATCATTTTGCATAAGTTCCGTGAAAGGAACTAAATCCAGACACTCCGATTATCAAGAAAAAAATTGTGAAAATTAAATAACAAATGGCAGAGACAATAAATTTGAACATGTGACGAAGGCAGTGAGTCATATACATGCTGGAATGGCACCAAGTTTGCCGCCTTTGTTTTTGGCATGCATCCAGTAAGGTGATGGTACACTTCTAAACAGTGTTCAACATTTCTTAATTTTAATTTTTTAATTATTTTTATTTTGAACATTTGACTGACACATCTTGAATACTTGATAAACATATTATTCTCTTGGAAGCTTATAAACATATATCATAGTATTCAACCTCTTTTTCTTTTAAGTTCTCTTGGAAGCTTATAAACTTGTATCATAGTATTCAACCTCTTTTTCTTTTAAGAATTTGACATTAAACACGTGTCACATATTATAATGAAAAAAACAAGGACAAAATAAGAGAGTAATATCATATATATAAATCATATAAATCATATATTATTTTTATATTTGAATAACTTCAACTTCTAACTAAATTAGACTTTATTATGGAAATTATAAAAGAAGCAGCATAATAGTGATGATAGGTTTAATTATTATGCAAATCTTGGCAGGTTTGATCATGAAAGGGACAATTGGCTCAAGCACATACAAGTATGCAACACATGTCAAAAATTTATTGTATAATTAGATACTGACCACCAAACTTTATGCTTTTAATACATAAAATATACATAAAAGCATAAAGTTTGGTGGTATAGTTGTGAAATAACTTTTGTTCCTGCCCATTAAGTGAAAAATTCGAGATATATGTCAAGTGAAAGAAAATAAAATTAATTTTTTATTATACATTATAAGAAAATTATTTGTTCTTGTAATTACATTGTTTGGATAGTAATTACTGTTATAAATTGAAGGCTAATCAGATAAGTACAAAGACAAAAACAACGTTGAATCAAAGTAGAGAAAAAGATATATTTTTAGCACATATTATTCAATTAACTAATGGCCTTTAAATAGACAATATATCAACTGAACTAGACTGAAAAATAGCAACAAACTCTAGACCACTAACACATGATCTGCAACAATAAAATAAACTAACAAAATACCTAAAAACCAGGATAACTTGAAAGGCAACTTTGACAAATTCATAACAAACCCTCCCTTAAATTGATGTTTTCAATCATTCAATTTAATACACAGGTAAAAATTAGCTCCCTCAAATATCTATCATACAAACACCCATCAAATCTCTTAACTTCAGAAACGAAGGCAATTTGAGGGGGCTTTGTGAATATGTCTGCAACCTAATCTACACTTCTGCAGTAGATGAGCTTAATTGTTCCATCCTCTGTGAGATCTCTTAAAAAATGAAATTTCATATCTATGTGCTTACTTCTTCCATGCAAAACAGGATTTTTTGAGAGTTTGATTACTGAGTTGTTATCACAAAAAATTTCAGTAGGCCGTTGTCTCTTGAAATTAAGCTCTTCAAGAATTTTATTCAACCATATAGCTTGACATGCACATGAGGTTACAGCAATAAATTCAGCTTCAGTGGTTGATAAAGTGACTATTGTAAAGCCATCAAGTTTGACTTTTCTCCCTTCTTGTAGAACAACACAAATTCCATAGTACCTTGCAAGTACCAAAGTATCCTCTTGGCAACTAGAAGATGCATCTCTGTGGGATTCTCCATGTATCTGCTGATGAGACTCGCGGAATACATTATATCTGGCCTTGTTGCAGTTAAATACATTAAACTTCCCACAATCTGCTTGTAAAGAGTGCTATCAACATTCTTACCTTCATGATCTTTATTTAGCTTCAAACCAAACTCAATTGGTGTACTCACCAAATTGCAATTCTTCATCTAAAACCTGTCTAAAATTTCTCCCACATATTTCTTTTGAGAAATAAAAATTCCAGCAGCAGTTTGAACCACTTCAATGCCAAGGAAATAATGCAACATTCTAAGATCAGACATATCAAATTCAACCATCATGAATTTCTTAAAATTTTCAAACATGGCCTTATCATTGCTAGTGTAAATTAAATCATCTACGTATAAGCACACCAAAAGCATCTTTCCTCCATCTTCAATTTTAATAAAAAAGTGTATGCTCATATGGACATCTTCTAAAACCTTCCTTCAAAAGATAAGCATCTATACGGCTGTACCAAGCTCTCGGAGCTTGTTTCAGCCTATATAGAGCCCTTTTCAACTTATATACCTTATGCTCATTACCTAGCTTCACATAACCAGGAGGTTGATCAACAAATATCTCTTTTTGTGTGTCTCCGCGTAGAAATGCTGATTTCACATCTAACTGGAAGATAGGCCATGAGTTTTGAGCTGCAATCACCAATCTGATCATGTCATGTCGTGCAATTGGTGCAAAAACCTCTTTATAGTCGATGCCGAATTCTTGCTTGAAGCCCTTGGCTATTAAGCGTGCCTTGTACTTGTTAACTTCACCATTCTCTTTCAGTTTTGTCTTGTACACCCACTTCGCACCAATGGTCTTTTGCCCTTTTGGAAGCTTCGTTAACTCCTAAGTGTTGTTTCTTTCGATGGCCATAATTTCAGTATCTATAGCCTTTTGCCACTTTGATTCTTTATAGCCTCTTTGAAAGTTACTGGATTACAGTCTGAAAACATGACAAAATGGGTAAGCGGATCCTCAGAATAATCAATTCCTGTTACCTCATAGTCTGACATCCATGCTGGCCTTCGTCTAACACGTTGAGAATGTGAACCTACTATAGCATCAACCTGTTCATCATGTTCTACTGTTGCTGATGTAGTTTCGGATGCTGTAGAAACTTCGTTTTGAGTACCTTTAAGAGTAGAAATTACTGGAGTTTCTTGTTGATGAGGCTGTTGTGTTTCCTCTTCATTTTCACCATCAAAATCTGTTTGTATTGACTGTCCAACGCCATTTCTGCTCCAAGACCAGATTCTATCTTCATCAAATACAACATCGCAGCTAATGATAATTTTCTTGGTGGTAGGATTATACAATTTGTAAGCTTTTGAATGATCGCTAATACCAAGAAAAATCCATTTTTCGCCTTTATCATCTAACTTTCTTTTCTTTTCATTTGGAACATGAGCATATGCTATACACCCAAAAATTCTAAAGTGCTCAACACTTGGTTTTCGTCCATTCCAAGCTTCTTCAGGCGTCACGTTTTGAACAGCATGTGTGGGGCTCCTATTCAGTACATGAATACTCCAATTGACAGCTTCGAGCTAGAAACTTCTTGGGATCCTGCTTCTTGCCAAAATAGTCTACACCATGTTCAAGATTGTACAATTCTTCCTCCCTGAAACGTCATTTTGCTATGGTGTATAAGCTGCTGTCAGTTGCTTTTGAATTCCACGAGCCTCACAAAAATTTACAAATTCTTGTGAGTTATATTCTCCACCACGATCACTATGAAGAATCTTTATAGACAAGCTCGCTTCTTTTTTGACCGGCGCCTTGAAATTTTTGAAAGTTGAAAATGTTTCAGACTTCTCCTGTAAAAAATAAGCCCATGTTTTTTCGACTATAATCATCAATGAACGTTATAAAATAACGTTTACAACCATTCGATGTCGGATTAATGGGTGCGCGTATATCAGAATGTACAGCTCCAACACTTTCTTCGCTTTCCATGATTTTCCTATTGGAAAATGATCACGATGTTGTTTACCAACAACATATTCTTCACAAATTTGAGAAAGGTGCTGAAGTTGCGGAAGACCCATCACCATGTTCTTCTGATGTAGCGTTTTTAAACCACCAAAATTCAGATGTCCATAGCGAAAATGCCATAGCCATGCCTCGTTCTCCAATCTCACAGAAAACATGACTGAGTGGTGTTATCAAGATATAACGGAAACATCCGGTTTGTCATCATGTTGACTTGAGCAATTAAGCCTAACTTTTTATCT